GAGAGGGCTGGCCCCTGGCCCCGGCCTCCCCCTGGGCTCGCGCAGCTGGCCGTCCCCGGGGACTAACGCAGGTGGCCCATCCGTCGCCACCAAACCGTCAGAGACCAGACCGGGTGGCCCGTCCAGGCCAGCCCCTCCCACAGGCGCACAGGACTCTGCAGGTGGCGGACGGCGATGCTGTGGACACGGCCCTTTGCCACGGACAAGGTGCTTCTCCGCTGGCAGAGTTCTCCTGTGGCCACTGTTCCCCGGTCTTCCCAGCAGCACTGGCTCCTCTGTCCCTGGTGGAGCCAGGCCTGGGCCAGCCCCCCAGCCCCTCCCCGCAGTCCCAGGGCCCAGGCGGGGCAACCACCACTCTCCATGTCACGGGGGACACATGAGCTCCAACCCCTGTCAGGCTGGACTGTTTCAAGTGACCCCAGGATCCTTCTCTGCCATCAGGGCTCGGGGCTCGGGCTGATGGGCCCCACAACCCCTTCCCAGTGGCTGTGGGAATGCCCTCTGACCTGTCTCCCCGTCTGTCCGTGAGCAGTAAGGGGTGGGCCCTTCAGCTGTGAGGTGCGGTCGGACAGGCCTGTGCTCAGGAAGTGACCCCGTCCCTGGGGCACAGCCTTGCACAGCTGACCGGGGCTGCTCCTCGCTTACACCCAGGAGTCCTCGCCGGCACCCCTGGGAAGCCAGCATTTACACCCCAGTGATGGCCTGGCTGGTGTGGCTCAGTGGTTGAGCATCGATCCACCCAGGAACCAGGAGGTCACAGTTTGATTCCTGGTCAGGGCACTCGCCTGGGTTGTGGGCTCTAATCCCAGTAAAGGGGTTATTTTTTAAATAAGTTTCTATTGATGTCAGAGAGGAAGGGAAAGGGAGAGAGTGACAGAAACATCAGTGATGAGAGAGAATCATGGATCGGCTGCCTCCCGCCTACCCCCTCTACTGGGGGTCGAGTCCGCAACCGGGCATGTGCCCCAACAGGAAATCGAACTGTGCACTGACTCCGGGCCTCCCAGGACATGCAGCCTGAGGTTGGTCACTGTCTATGCCCTGCCCGGGGCCGCCTGGCGTGAGCTACGGCGTGATCTGCAGACGGCCGCACGAGTGCCAGCCTGGGCCCCGTGGTGAGAGTCACGTGCACCCTGAGGTCGGAGGCTGCTTGTTTGAGGGATTTAAGGAACATTCGCAGCATCAGCGAGACAGGCTGTTTGTATGGAGAAGCCACTGGGAGCGGCCCAAACGCTGGGTGGGGCGAGATGTCAGGAAATCGCCAAGGCTGAGCAAACGGTGTGAGCCAGGTTGATGGACACGCAGATAGGTGCCTGCCGCCAGTTCTACAGGGGCGGGAGGGGAGGGGGGACGGCTCAGCCAAGGATTAATGGCTCCTGCCAGGGAGAGCACGGCCCCTCTCGCCCTCAGCCCGAAGCTCCGCAAGTCAGACCATCCCATGTGCTCCTGATGCCTTCCAGGTTGCTAGGCCAGCGCTGGAGCTCAGAGCCAGTGTGTCTGAGCAAGTCCACGCACTGGCCCTTTAAGAGGAACACCCGGGACTCCCGGAGCCTCTGTCTCACTCAGCCACCGTCCCTGCTGGACTTCTCTTCCTGGCCCCGGAGCCCAGGGCTTGGGGGCCTGGTGTGGGGCTGGGACATCCCTCCCGATTTTACCCGCTACTTGTGGGTGTGCACCGGCCGGTTCCTCTCCTCCACCCCTCCCGCCAGGCCCAGCGTGGCTCCCGCCTTAAATCCCTAGTCGAGGGCGTCCGTTCAGCTAGAGTTCAGGCGGTTCTGAGCGACGGCTGCTCCGTGGCGCCGAGATTCTGATGTGGTTGTGGGAAGAGGCGAGCACCTGTGCGCCCCATCCTGACCGGAAGGCAGTCACACCTTCTTTTCTTTCTTTCTATTTGAAGAGGGCGCTGACTGCAACCGGGACATGAAACCAGGAAGGGCCCAGGAGAGAAGGAGCAAGGAGAGCCCCTGGGCTGTCGGGCTCACAGAGGATGGGGCCTGGGAGACGGGGCGGGGTGAGCCTGGGACGAGCTGCTGCTGCCCACGGCTCCCCTGGTGGCAAGTCTCTGGGACCCTTAGAGTTTAGGAGCCGCACACACGCCTGTCAAGGGAGAACCGGTCCCCAAGGCGCCGGGAGGCTCCATCACACATCCACTCCCACCCGCACACTCACACACACTCTCACACTCACACACACCTGTGCTCACACATGTGGTGCCCCGTGCCCAGGCCATTGCTTCCTGAGCCCCAGCGGGGAGGAAATGCAATAATTTCCTGGAAACTTGGCCGGGAGTACAGAGAGCCATCAGGGTCCCAGGGCCTCAGAGAGAGGAGGAAGGGGCGAGGCCACCCCCAATTCCCTAGGAGCCTTCCCCTCAGGAGAGTCCCCCGTGCAGACCCTGGGCCCTGACTCCGGGTCCTGAGATCTGACCCAGGTCCAGTCCCAGCCACTGCAACAGCCACTGGTCAGGACATCAAGCCACCAGCAGGCAGCACCGCCTACGGGCCGGGCGAGATCCCGTCCCCCCTGAGGGAAGTGCTGGCACCGACCCATTTCGCAGAGGGGAAAACTGAGACCCAGGAGTTGCAGCATCGTGTCCAGAGTCCCAGCTCTCCTCTGCACTGCGAACGGCACACACAGGCCCCTGGATGGGTCTGGAGCAGCAGACAAGGCTCAGGGCGGTCCTCATCCAATCCCCACACCCCAGGGCCAGCCCGGACCCCAGTGCCCCCGAGGTGAGGCCTCTTGACCCCCAGCAGCCTCCTCTGCAACCACACACTTGACCAGTAGAGCTCTGGCCTTTACGGGCCAAGCCTGGAGGCTGGGCAGACACGGGGGGCTCCGGGCGTGAGGTGGGGGGCGGGGGGCGCCAGGAAGGCCCACCCTTCCAGCAGCCCTGGCGTCTCTCCCTCTGCGACAACAGGCAGGTCCCACCTTGCAGGTCTAGCCTCCTCCTCAGTGAAGTGCAGCCAGGCATCGCCCTGGAATCCGGGAGGAGTGGGGACCCCACCCCCCCCAGGATCTGGCCGAGGCAGGCCTTTCGGAGCAGCCGTAGCAGCAGCACAGCCAGAGCTCCCAGCCCCTCCTCCCCCAGGTGACCCGGTGCCACAGCAGCGGGGCAGCGGGGCAGCTCCAGCCACCCGCTCCGCTGCTCAGACAGGAAGTGGAGAGTGCTATGGGTCCAGCACACACCCGGGGCGGCCGCGGGGCTCCTGGGTCAGAGACCGCCCCGACTCTCATGGGCGCACACACAAAACAAACAAGACGACAGTCAGAGCAGAGGCCTCGTGGTCACAGTGCGTCCACTGTGTGACCGCAGGCCCCGCTGGCCCTCCCAGGGCCCTGGCTGCCTCCGGAGGCCCCGTCCCCCAGGAGGAGGCCTGGTGGGGGAGGACAGGAGCCTGGCTCCGGGAGCCCCTGAGCTGTCATTCAGCCCCTGTCATCCTAGAAGGGGCCCTGGGGGAGGACCAGGCCAGGAGCGGGTGGGACAGGGACAGACGGACAGACAGGGAGGAAGGAAGGAAAGAAAAGGTGAGTAAATGGAGCCGAAGGGGTGAGGCTGGGCCCACGGCTGCCTGGGGGCCTGGGGCTGGGACATGGCCGCTCCCCCTGCCCCGGACAGTCCCTCCGGGAGCACAAACGGCCTCTCTGATAAGCACCCAGGAGGCAGATGTTCCGGGAAG